AAAAATAAATAAAATAAAATAAAATATACTCAGAACCAGATCTCCTCTCACTGTGTCCACAGCTATCACCATTAGTGCTTGCCTAGACTAGTACAGTGGCCTCTTCACTTGCTCCTCTGCTTCCTCCCTTGCCCCCTCCTCAGATGCTCAAATGCTCTCTGAGCAAAAAATGAACAGCTTCCCAAGAAAACTACTTGGCTCAGTCCTCCACATTATTCAAGTTTCAGCTCATATGTCACCTGAGAGGTCTACTCTGATAACTGCCATCAAAAATAGCTCCCTTCTGCCCCTCCTATCCATACCACTTCTTTCTTATCCCCTTAATTTTCATTATTTTTCCCTCTTAGCACTTCTCACTACCAGACATAGTATTTATTAACTTGTTTACCTGTTTTGCTACGTTTACTAACCTATTTATCTTGTTTATAGCCTATTTATCAATCTATTTACCTTGTTTGTTACCTGTTTATCAGCTTATCTTGCATACTTTCTTTTTGTTCTCCACTAATCCTGAGAGCCTAAAACAGTGCCTGACAAAAGTCTGCTGGGTGAATGTATGAAGGCAGGCATGGCAAGGAGCTCACCTCCATGCGGTCAAGGGTCGTGCGGCTGCTGCGTACGATGCTGTTGCTATAGGCACGAGCACTGCCTGGCTCGGAGAGGGGGCCGTAGCGTTGGCCCAACAACTGCCCACGCAGCCTCAGGTACTGTCGACGCAGTGCTGGGGGGTGCCCAGCCTTGGCATTCTCCCGTAGCAGCTGGCTGCGCCGCCGGATGTACTGTGTCCGGAACTGTGGAAAGGTTGGCGTGCGGTACGCGTTGTACCTGCCAACGCAGGAGGTAGAGCAGGCAGCAGGCACAGGACAGAGGGGAATCAATCAGCTCAGGGGACAAGGAAAGGAATGAGATGTGTGGCAATGATTGGTGTCCAGATAGCAAGAGTGATCAGTATGAAGCTTAAGTAGTGAAGGGGTCCCTCTGCTGTTATGATGGGGGTAATTCTGCAATAATGGGCATGTCTGGCATGGTGATGAAGTCACTGTAGGGAAAATACAGTTTTTGCTGGGGTTGGTGTGTAGTGACTGAGTCAGTGCAGACAATAATGGGTCAGTCTAACACAGAAATAAAACTGGCATGGTGATGGAAGTTAGGGTGGGGCAATGATGAGAATCAGTGTATGGCAGTGATAGGATCAGTAGGGGAAGTGATGCAGTCAGACTAGGGAAGTAATGATAAGAGAAATCTAGGAGCAATGAGGGACACGATGTCTGCAGCCTAAACTGCAACCCTCTTCCAAAAGCTCTAGCAGGACAGCCTCTCTGCGCATGCTCACATCTGACGGCATTTTTCCCAGCATGCTCTTTACAGCCCTCTCCTGTCTGGCCATCTCACTGCACGCATGCCCTCACACCCTACTACCGCAAAGGCTCACCACGGGCATGCCTACGCAGCCGCAGAAGGCACGTTCTCCGCCCAGTCTCACTCATCGCCAGTGCGCATGCACCACACAACTACTGTTGCCACTGGCTCCAACCCGGGCCTCACCTTGCGTCCACTGCTAAGACCTGCTGCCACACCGCGGCCATTCCCCGGCCTCCAGACACCTTCTCCGGCTTGCCCGCCCGCGGGAGCCTGCAGGACAAAGGCCCGGGATATCAGCTACCTAGGTCTCAAGACAAAAGATCTAGTCCCGCCCCTTCCGCCAGGCTACCGTTGCCATAGACACCGAGTCCCTGCACGTAGGGACGTCATGAAACCCCACCCACCATAAGCTTACCGGGCGTTACCATGGTCACCACTCCAGCCTGGCCTGGACAGCGCCCCTGACTCTCAGCCGCAATTTGGACCTCACCTCTCCCTTCCCCAGGCGCTATAGCAATGCCCCTCCCCCGCCGAGCAATCTATCTTGGTACTCCCCACCCATCTTGCCCCGCCACCTCCCGCCTGTCCTTCACGGGTCCAAGAGCAGGACCCGGGATTAAGGACCACCTCCGGGGCTGCCTCCAGCTCTTGAGGCCCCCAGGGCGGCCCTGAGACCAATGTCACCCGTTCCTTCTTTCTCTTCTCACTCTCCCAGGCTCCAGGCAAGATGGCCGTCCGCTGGCAGGAAAGGCTGCTGAAAGTAGAACGAATCGATAGGAATCCTCCCCAGGGCGTGGGAGAGTGGCGCAGGCGCACCAACGGACAGTAACTTCCGGCATGGCGGCAGAGGCTCTGTTCCTAAATTACATCCCACCCCCCAATTCCAAAAGCACACCTTTCATATACACAAGGCTCAATCCCCATCATTGAAATAAGATCAGAAATATATTTGCAAAAAGCAAAGGAAATTCGACTGCTGTAGTGATACTGCCTCAGAAACCCAAGGAAGGGTCACTCTGAGTCAGGTGCGACTTGACAGCACATGACAACAACAACAACATAACTTCTTAGGTTCTGAGCCAAATGTCTCATAGTAAGTGATTCCATCTTGTACTTTTCTGTCCTAAAATCAGTCTATCATTTCTGTAAAATTTCCACTGTACCTTTGACTTAGAAACAAGCAGTTCTACAGAAAAAAAAGTGGTTTTGCTTGCTCACATAGATGTTATTTCAACTCCAACAAGTTGTGTTAAGCTTCAGAGAGATAAACTAACGTTAAATAGTTGAGGTGTAATACATACTGACTGCCCTCAATGAGTTCGATTGAGACACTGGCTGCAACAATGGGTTCAATAAGCTCAAACATAGCAACAATTGTGAGGATGGCGGAAGACCGGCAGTGTTTCACTCTCTTCTACATAGGGTCACTGTGAGCCGGAACTGACTTCATGGCACTTAACAACAACAAGGTTAAATAGAAACATGTTTATAGCTTTTCTGTATCAAAACTTTTTTTCCCCTTAAGCATAAGAATACTTAGCATTTTCATTTATGGTTGCTTTATTCTTTCAACAAACTCTTTGCTTTTATATTTTAGCTCTGGTGGCATAGTGCCTAAGGCATTTAACTGCTAACCAGAAGGCTGGAGGTTCAAACCCACCAGCCACTCCTTGGAAGGAAGGTTGGGCAATCTACTTCCGTAGAGACACTGCCTCAGAAATCCAAGGAGGGGTCACTATGAGTCGAATTGACTAGATGGCAGTGAGTGAGTTTTAGAGTACCAATATAATGCAGATCTAATAACATTACTTCTACCTTAGCACAGATGATCTAATGTGCCAGGGAACAGGTGACTTTGGTAGTTGGTTAATTCTCAGAAAATACCCCCTAGACTCCCCTTTTACAACTGTAAATGCTGTATCTGTATTTTAAAATTGTTTCAGAAAGCTTTTAGTCAGCTAAAATCCTGCTACCCAGACCCATCCTAAAATAGATCAACCCCTGAAGTGGTCAACCAAGACCCTAGCACCTGCACCATTGTAAACATTATCCAATGAGAAATACCCCAAATGTACTCTCCCTTCCTTTATCTCCAGAGAGCACATTTTCAAGGCTTTTTGACTCTATGTTCCTTGTTTTGTAAAATGCTCTTACCCTGTAATAAACTCTGTTTTCAGTTTTAAATAGACTTGTGGTTTTTTTTCTCTACAACAGAGGTTTGGATCCATAGAGGCTATCAGAATCATCTTTATTTCGACTCCAACAGGAAGATGCATCTGAAACTGTTTATCTTAAAGTAATCTGGATAAGCAGGATTTACAAGTTTTAAATACAAGGTTTAGTAGCTGCCTATTGGACCTTAATATCAACTGAAACAATTTTGAAACGAGTTATTTTTCACATTTTTAATAACAAATATAATCATCTGAACAATGTTTTAAAGTCACCTGAAACCAGGAAACACATCCAAAAATGTATTACCTTCTGTGTTTTAACAAAAATATATCAGTTTGTTTTGATTTAGCACCTCCCCTGTTCATGTAACTAAGCTATCAATGACTTTTCATATTACATAACTTTCTGTAACATAATCACTAAAGAATAAACTGTATTTCATTTCACAAACTTGTAACTTTAACATGAACTGTTAACATTTACTGAGTATCGTGATAGTGAATCTTAGAAAAATTAAGGTGCTAGCATATTTGACCAACCACTTGCCTGTCACGTTGTCATACTGTGGTGGCTTGCATGTTGCTGTGAGGCTGGAGGCTATGCCACTGGTGTTTCAAATACCAGCAGGGTCACCCATGGTGGACAGGTTTCAGTGGAGCTTCCTGAGTAAGACAGACTTAGAAGAAGGAAGGGGCCATTCACTTCTCAAAGAATTGGCCAGTGAAAACCTTACAAATAACCAAAAGAGAAGAACAGGCTTGGCATTTCTCAAGCTGAAAGAACTGTAGAAAAAATTCAAGCCTCGAGTTGCAATATTGAAAAATTCTATGGGCAAAACATTGAATGATGCAGGAAACATCGAAAGATGATGGAAGGATATGAGCTGAACATTTACATTAAGTAGACACACTCCTTGGAGAGATCGATCATGGGAGAATGGAAGGGCTGTGTATGCACAGAGAGAGAGCTGGGGGACAGAAGTGCATGGGAGGGATGGACACAGGGAAGAGGTGGCTATGGGGAGGAAGTGGGAGGAGAGCTGTTGCATTATGGGAGATTGCAGTCAATGTCATGAGACAAAGTGTATGTGAACTGCTATGTGGAAGATGAATATAGAAGAATGCTCTGTAAACATTCACTCAATCACAATAAATTTTTTTTAAAAAAAAGGATGGAAGGAATACACAGAGTCACTGCATAAAAAACAATTAGTCGATGTTCAACAATTTCAGGAGATGGTTATGATCAAAAAACAATTGTATTGAAGAAATAAGTCAAAGCTTCACTGTAGGAATTTGGCAAAAAATAAGGCTCCAGGCATTGACGGAATACCCATTGAGATGTTTCAACAAATGTATGCCATGCTGGAGGCTATGCTAAGAAATCTGGAAGACAGCTACCTAGCCAACTGACTGGAAGAGATCCATATTTGTACCTATTCCAAAGAAAGGTGATCCCACAGAATGTGGAAATTATTGAATAATGTCATTAATATCACACATTAGTAAAATTTTGCTGAAGACAATTAAAAAATGGTTGCATCAGTATATTGAAAGGAACTTCCAGAAAGCAAGTGGGATTCAGAAGAGGACATGGAAAGAGGGATATCATTGCTGATGTGAGATGAGTCTTGGCTGAAAGCCAAGAATACCAGTGTTCTGGTTACCTAGTGCCACTCTGACAGGAATATACCACAAATGGAATGGCCTTAACAAACAGGAGTTTATTCTTACAATCTGGAGGCTTTAAGTCCAAGTTCAAAGTGCCAGGCTCTAGGGGCTGGGTGAAAGTCCCTCAACCTTGGGGTCCAGTTCTGCCTCCTGCTCCCAGCACACTGGAGCTACAGGCATTTCTTCACTCAGACAGCTGTTGGCTGCTGAGGCTGAGAAGCCCCAAGGTTGACAAGTAAAAGGTACAGTCAGATGTTACCAATCTACACAGCAGGCCATTAACTTAAGTCCACTGTAAGTCCCAAGGTCGGCACAGCATAGCAGGCTGCTGAGCAATGACATGGCTACATGCAGAGTCCAAGCGTGCCAAAGGCTAGAGACCATTCTCAAGGCTTCTCCTTATCGACAGGGAGCAGACCACATTCCAAAGGCAGCTACTCAGCTGCTTGTGGTAGAACCCACCATGGAGTTGATTGCCAGTCTCATCATGGGGAATAACTACCACTGGCTGCCCAGCCACTCAACCAGGCCCAACCAAGTTGACACACAAACATAACTACCACAACCAGAAAGTATTTACTTGTATTTTATTGACTATGCAAAAGCATTCGATGGTATGGATCATAACAAATTATGGATAACACTGCAAAGAACAGGAATTCCAGAACACTTAATTGTGTTCATGAGGAAACTGTACATAGACAAGGAGGCTGCTATTTGAACAGAACAAAGGGCTGCTGCATGGTTTAAAATCAGTAAGGCTGTGAATCAGGGTCATATCCTTTCACCTTACTTATTTGATCTCTATGCTGAGCAAATAATCCAAAAAGCTGGACTATATGAAGAAAGTGTCATCAGGATTGGAGGAAGACTTATTAACAACCTATGATATACAGATGACACAATCTTGCTTGCTGAAAGTGAAGATGACTTGAAGCACTTACTGATGAAGATTAAAGACTATAGTCTGCAGTATGGATTACACCTCACCATAAAGAAAACAAAAATCCTCACAACTGGACCAATAAGTAGCATCACCATAAATGGAGAAAGAAATTGAAGTTGTCTAAGATTTCATATTACTTGGATCCACAATCAACACCCATGGAAGGAGCAGTCAAGATATAAGATGTTATATTGCACTGGGCAAATCTGCTGTGAAAGACCTCTTTAAAGTGTTGAAGAGCACACCAGGCTACAGATAAACACATAAATATTTGAGAGGATCAGATGAAGGTCAGTGAACAAGAGTATACTCTAGACAAGGATAGATTCAGCAGAGGCTAATCTTACGCAGATACCAGTGACACAAAATACCTGCAATCTTTATAGAAACAACAGAAGACAGACACAGAGTAATCCCTCACAGACACCCAGACACTGTGGG